CACCCCAGCGGTCCTTACAGTTAATTTAAATCCGAGAAGCAACTGACACAAAGGTTGAACTTGCATTTAGCACCTAGTCCCTCTACTAATAATAAATCGAACGCTCCTAACTATGATAACAGGCATATCTTGAAATGGCTTCAACTGTCAGATGACTCAGGGCTGAGGGACCTGTATGGCGCTGTCACTTCTGCGAATGGAGATCTTATCAATGAAATGTAGCACGCGTGGATGGCAAGGATGAAGGTGGAAGCTACAATCTCAATAGCTACTGCATTCACCCACGTCCCTTTATATTCTTGTGGATCATGTCTTGTTGTCAGAGTACAGTGGATATGAGAACATACAATGTGGGGGGGGACGTCGCACAAGTCAACTCCAAACAAATTCACGCGTAGATTTCCACTACGCCTTTCTCGAAACCGTGCTGCATGCGAGGAAGGTGTACAATGTGAGTACGCCAAACACAGGCAGACAAAAAGAACGTATGCAAATGAACCTGCCCCAGCACTCGAGGCTTGGAGCGTAGACAGAATTGTCAACAAAAACGCGCGTAAGGAAAAAGCTCACGGGAAATATACCTGTGATATGTGATTGCTTCAGCCTGATCGATGGAAATTTTCAAACTAAGGGCGCGTTCATAAGGACGTTTGCCAGGAATGAAATTGAGCTCGGAAGGAGACAAAATGGTCGGCGGTCGAATAACCTCAATGACCTTGAAGAAGGGAGAACTTGTAAAACTCAAGCCCGGAGGACAAGTGGGAATTCGAAAGATGCCGCCAGCTGAAAACAGAGCAAGTTGGAATGTAGTGCTGCTGGTTGACGCACGCTTAAACAGAAAGAACTAGGCTAACGTATAAGATAGCACTTACAGGTGGCGAGAGTTATGGTATCAACATTTGGCCTCGTGGTTGGAGAGGAAAGACAGTTCGTCGAATTTGCCCTCTCCGGAGCCATCTTCTGAGCCTGCCGATTGGAGTTGTTTTTGCTGGCCGAGGCGTGTTG